AGCTAGGACTATAGGCACCTGTCACCACACCTAATTTTTAAAAAAATTTCCTGTAGAGACATGTCTCACTATGTTGCCCAGGTTGGTCTCAAACTTCTGGCTGCAGATAGTTCTTCTGTCTTCCTTTTCCAAAGCACTAGGATTACCTTTGTGAGTCACAGCATCTGGCCCTGTTTGGTTATTTTTAATGATATCTATTTCTGTTGAATTTCTCATTCAGATGAATTGTTTTTCTGATTTCTTTGTATTATTTATCTGTGTTCGCTTGTACCTCATTTAGCTTCTTTAATTTTACTTTGAAATTTTTAAGGCATTTTGTAGATTGCTTTTTGTTGGAATCTTGCTGGGGAATTGCTGTGTTCTTTTGGAGGTGTCATATTTCCTTACTTTTCATGTTTCTTATATCCTTATGTTGATATCTGTGCATCTATTGTAATAATCACTTCTTCCAATTTTATGGATTGGCTTGCATAGGCAAAGACCTTTTCCTGTAGTTATATTCATAGAGATGGTTGAGTAGGGTGTTTGGGCTTTGATTTTGGGTGGGCTCAGTAGTACAGTTTTCATATGATTTCATTGACTATAATCAGTGTCAGTGGTATTTGTGAATTCCCATGTGTCTTAGGCTATGGTTATTAGTGGAGACTCTAGTAAGGATTTACTGTGGACTGGGAGCCAGTTGAGCCGGTCCTCAATCCTCAGTCTTGGCAGCAGGCTGAGAAAGTAGGTTCTTGATCCCCCAGATGGTGTTTAGGCATTGATAGTAGTGGGTCCAGGTGAGCTAATCCTTGGTCCTCCAGATGGCTTACTTGAGTGTCAGCAGTGGCAATGGTGAGCCAGGTAGGCAGGTTTAGTCTCTGGGTCTACCATCAGCACTCATGGGTACCGGCAGTGGTGGTGGTGAGCTGAGAGGGCCAGTCTCCGGGCCTCTAGGTGGCAGGTGGATGGTGGTAGTGGCTGCAGATTGGGTGGTCCCATCCTCAGGCCTCTGTAGGTATGCTTGGGCAACTATGGGACCGGACAGAGGTGGGTAGATCCCCAGACCTCTGGACAATACACATAGCACTAATGGGGCCATCACCAAGTAGAGTAGGCCTATACTTGGGCCCCTGTATGGTGATTTTGCAAGCAGTTTGTGTTGAACAGGGCTGGTTGATCTTCAGACCCTAGATGATGTGTGTGGGTGCTGACAGTCTGGGTGGGCCCTTTCCCAGGCTCCTGGAAGGCTTATACAGGCACTAGCAGCAGTAAGCGGGGCAAATTGATCCCTAGACCCCCGGCTGATGCTCACAGGCCTTCCAAGGCATGGGCAGGGCAGGGTGGGTCTGTCTTCAAGCCCTGTGATGGTTCTCTCAGGCACAGGTTGTGCTGGGCATGGCAGGTCTACCCCCAGGAGCCTAGACTGCACACTCAGAAACCAGTGGTGGTGGTGGTGGTGGTGGTGGTGGTGGTGGTGGTAGGCAGGAGGGCCTGTCCTCAGGGCCTCTGATAGTGTGTGCAGGCACCAGCATCAGCAGGTATGGTGGGTTGATCTCCAGTCCTAGATGATATGTTTGCTAGATGTGTCAGATAGATCAATCTCCCAGCTACCAGGTAGCATTCTCAGGTGGTGGCATCAGTGAGTGTGGCAGGCCTGACCTCAGGCTCTAGGATGGTACCCAAGCAGGCTCATGTCCATGCTCCTGAAGATGTATGCAAGTGCACATTCACCTGGCTGCTACCAGAGGCAGGGCTGCTGTTAGTGGCAGTAATCCCAGGAAGGCAGCTCCCAGGCTGGGGAGCACGTGCTTCAGCTCCCTTCTTCCCAGGGGCATTCTTTCTCATGTGCTGCACCACCCATTTCCTGTGATGTTGGACTGTATGTGGGCTAGAGTGCTAGGGACCTGGTTGTGCATTGAATCCAGCTCATGTCACAAGGTTGCAAATCTATGGGTGGACGTGGAATAGATGTCAGTGGGGCTCCAGGGGTGTGGAGATTCAGGGCCCTAGGGCAGGATGTTATCTGGTGGGGGTTGGACTCTCAAAGTGATACCATGTTGCAGCTGCTTGGGTCTCGGATGGTGTATGGGATCCAGCAAACTTTCCCTCTAGAATAATGCATCACTTTGATGCCAGGCAGCTTCCTCTACTAGTCTCAGGGCCCTTGAGAGCTGAGGAGCCATGGCTAGGCTTGCAGGAGTCCATGGTGAGAATGTGGACCACTGGACATCTCTCTTACCTTTCTCCTGCACCTAGGCAGGTCAATCTGTGGTGTTTCTCCTATCTTCTAGCCAGTCCTGGCCAGGCCAACTGCTTCCCTCTCCTTCCATGCCTCAGCGGTTCCCCGTCACTTTCCTGCTGAATGCCTGTGTTCTCTTTTAGATGCTCTATTCAATGTGTTATTATCCCCTTGCTGTTTTGGTACTTCTTTGTGGAACAGGTGAGTGCCAGGTGTCTGGTCAGCCATAATGAACCTCCCTCCAAATCCATTTTCTAAATCAATTGATAGAATAGCATAATGTTTCTCTTTTATTATATTAATGTGACAAATTGCATTGATTGATTTTTAAATATTAAATAGCTTTCAATATCCCTTAAAAAAATTTTTTTACTGTTCTTATGTGGTATGTATTTCATTGGTTTTATTTTTCCTTTTCTGATTGTCAGTGATTTTATTATGTTGCCTTCTGTTGACTATTTTGGTTTGCTGCTTTGAAAATTCCCTGTTTATATTCGCTTCCCTTTTTATATTTCATTGGTTTGGTTTGGTTTGGTTTGGTTTGGTTTGGTTTGGTTTGGTTTGCCATTTTTTAAGAATTTTTATCTGGTGTAGATATCTGGCCAGGCGTGGTGGCTCACGCCTGTAATCCCAGCACTTGGGGAGGCTGAGGCGGGCGGATCACTTCAGGTCAGGAGTTCGAGAACAGCCTGGCCAACATGGCGCAACACTGTCTCTCCTAAAAATACAAAAAATTAGCTGGGCATGGTGGCGTGTGCCTGTAATCCTAGATACTAGGGAAGTTGAGGCAGGAGAATTGCTTGAACCCAGGAGGTTGAGGTTGCAGTTACCAAGATCATGCCACTGCACTCCAGCCTGGGCAACAGAGCAAAACTCTGGTCTCAGGAAAAAAAAAGAAAAAAAAAAAAATATATATATATATATATACATATCCTAACCTCCTCCTCTTCTTTCCACTATCTCTTTCTATATATAGATATAAAATTTTACATCTGGACACCATACTGAATTATTTCTACTAAATCTATTAAGTTTTCTTCTTAAGATCTTAGATGTTCCAAATGTGCAGGTTTATCATCAGTGATAAGAAATAGGTTTTGCTCCTATATTTTGATTATTTCCTATTCTTCTTATTGTATTTGTTAGAATCCACTAAAGCAGTTTTTAATAATAATAATGCAGTATGGTATCCTGATACCTGATATGAATAGACATGATTTTATTGCAGAATGGTAGGGGTGAAGGAAGAAAAACAGATGTGATCTCTGCCGCAGGCAGTTTGTTGAAGCACAGGGCAGGGAAATCCTTCTGAAACATTAACAGCACTGTAGTTTTGTTCTCTGTAGACTAGAAAGAAGTAAAGAGTAAAACAACTTATAAATAGTTGATAAACAAGTTTTTTCTATGGAAATTAACTGAACTAAGGACAGTTCATGCTAATTCAGTGTTATAAAAGGACTGCAAGCAACACAGAGGGCTTGAAATTGAGACCCATGAGCAAGGATCTCTGTTTTTCTTCGACCATTTTGCCATGTGTATGCAGATATAATAGGCAGAGAATTGAATTTATGCAAGGTTGGGGTTTTGCCACTTGAATGTGATGAGTTGAGGATACACAAGAGAATGACTATATGATGGACTTTAGATGAATTTTAATGGAGATGACGGAAAATGTGACAGGATCAGTGCATTGTAAGTACTTTCGGGGGTAAAATATTTTTAGAGTTGGAGTTGTAGAGGGAGAGAAGTGGAAAAAGAATGTTAGAGATGAGAGGGTAAAATATTTAACACTGGAAATTTCAAGAGGCTATAGTTAATGACAAGGTCTCTAAGATATGACCATTGCAGTGATGGAGATAGGATGAAGACTGAGGTAGAGCGAAGGGCAGCAAACCAAGAGGCCTACCTACTGGAAGGATTATTGGTCCAAATGTAGAAATCATCTAAATTAGTTATGACAGAATTAGTGTTGGGGAGCTGGTGAGCTGGAAAGTAAAATCTTAACGAATGAACACGAGTGACAGGATAAATAACTGTATTGTTATTCTGAAGTAATTTTTCTTTCTTTCTTTTTGTTCTTTTTGGTTGAGACAGAGTCTTGCTCTGTTGCCCAGGCTGGAGTGCAATGACGCAATTTCGGCTTACTGCAACCTCCTCCTCCTGGGTTCAAGTGATTCTCCTGCCTCAGCCTCCTGAGTAGCTAGGATTACAGGTGCACGCCACCATGCCCAGCTAACTTTTTGTATTTTTAGTAGAGACAGAGTTTCGCTGTGTTAGCCAGGATGGTCTCGATCTCCTGACCTCATGATCCACCCACCTCGGCCTCCCAAAGTGCTGGAATTACAGTTGTGTGCCACAGCGCCCAGCCTTTTTTTCTTTTTTGAACCTGTCTCAGGATATTCTGAGGTAAACCTCTTCTCTCCTGGCACCAATTAAAAGTGTGGAGAATTTCAGAGCAATTAGAAGTAACTAGGAGTTGCTTCATATAAACAGAAAGTTAATAATTTAAAAATAGCATTCTAATACATATATTAATTTTACCAAAAGCAGAAAGAAGGTAAACTGTTTTAACCACCATAGAAATTATTATGTACAATTGAAATGAAATTTGACTTTCATATACCTTCACTTATTAACTTCTAATATGTAACAGAGCTTAACTAGTAATTGCCTGTTGCAATAATGCAGCTTTTTGAACTTTGCCCTAAATGCCAGTAGAGATAAAATTTGTCATTTTGAGAACTAGCATGACTTTTTATTTTTTGTTTGTTTGTTTTCACAGAGATTTCTCCTGAAGGGGAAAAGTACAAACCCTTAATTACTGAAGAAAAAAAAATACAGTGTATTTCACATGAAATAAACACATCGGCTATTGTTGACTCTCCTGTTGAGACAAAAAGTCCAAAGTTTAGTCAGGCATCTCCACAGATGTCATTGAAACTGGAAGGAAATTTAGAAGGTATGTTCTGAGTCAAAATGAGCTGTATTTGATTTAGTAAAACTTAAAGTTCACAAGCTTTATAAACAGATTATCAAAATTTGTGTATGGGTATTTCATCTCGAATTAGGCTCAGTATTTTTATATTTGTAGTAATTGGTCTAAGTCACTAAGTCACTCCAAAACTTAGTGTTGAAACACCAACCATTTCATCTCATGATTTTATGTGTCAGAAATTGAGTCAAGACTTGGCTAATGTGATTTTCCTAATTCAGGTACCTTTTTCTCAGAGATCAGTTGGTGGTGGTCAGCTGGCAACTTATGCTGATCTGAAGGTTCCCAAAAAGCTTCACTGCTGTCCTGGCACGTACAGCTTAGCTGGGCCCCTCTCCCTCTTCCTGTGGTTTCAGGGCTATTCTGTGTACTCTTTCTAGCAGGATAGCGTGACTTCTTATATGAGGCCCGGGGCTCACAGATGCTAAGGGGAAAACGGCTTGTACTCTTAAAAGCTGACCTCAGAACTAGCGCATTATCACTTCTGCCATACTCTCCTAGTCAAAGCAGTCACAGCCCAAGCTGGATTCAAAGGGAGAGGAAACAGAACACACGTCTCAGTGGGAAGAGTGTCAAAGAATTTGCATCTGTCCTAAATCTGCCATAGTCTCCCCTCTGACCAAAAATTATTTTCATTCCTCCCATATGCAAAATACACTCATGCTGTCTCAAAGCCTCATCTCATTATGACATTAGCTCAGAGTTTAATATGATAACAAAGTCAGGCCTCAGTGAAGATGGGTGTTCCCATCTGCATGTCTTCAAGTACAGTTATTCTCAATCTGAAGACCTGTGAGTAAAAAAAAGGTAAATCACTTGCTTTTCATATGTACAACATACAATGGTGAAACAGTTGTTGAGACACCTTTTCAAAAACAAGGCATATGGGAAGTAGGTAGCAGTCATTGGTCCATAGAAATTCTAAAGTCCAACCAGGAATGGCATTGTCAGCTGGCTTCCTTGCACCAAAGGTTGGTGCCCTCAAGGGCTCTTCTCTTTTGAACTGTTTGTCCCCTTCAGTCTGAGCTCATAGTGCTTCCACAAGCAGAATTCTAAGTTGTTTTGTGGATTTATATGAATATTACTGATATTCACTGTGATTAACAAAAGCCCCTCATTTTTTTTTGAAACAGACTCTTTTCTACCTTGAGTTATCTATAAGGATACTATGAGACAGTGCTCTTGAGTCCTTAGAAATTCTTTTGCCTAGCAAAAAGGATCTGCAAGGCATGCCCTTAAATATTTCTGTGCCCTAACAGATCTGATGGGTACAACCTTGAGTTCATCTCTGCCCTGAGGCCACACCCTACTGTCCTGAATTTAGTCTGTCTTGAGGCCATGTCTTCCTTTCAGAACCTTTTGTTGCCTAGAAGGAATTATCCTGGGTTCTCTGTATCTCTTCTAAATTCTCATAAGCTAAACTTTTTTCTTCAGTTAATCTCTCTTTTCTTGTTCTTTATCAGGAGTTATTAGAAGCAGCTGTCACTTTGAATGTTCTCCTTTGATAACTCCTTAGCTAGACCACTGGATCCATAAAGTACATTTACTATCTTCCATATTATTGCAGTTACCAAATTTTCTGCCATTAGAGAACAAGAGTCCCTTTTCTCCAGCCTCCAGTAACCGTTTTTCACTGATCAGTCTCTTACCAACAATGTCATTGAAACCCTTCCAATTTCTGCCTGCTCCACAGTCCCAAAGCCAGTGCGCACAGGCTTTTACGTCAGCTCCCAGCTTCCAGATACGTAATTCTGTTTTGATTATAAGTAACTCCTAAAACTTAATAGCTTAAAATAACAATTTTAGGCCAGGCGTGGTGGCTCACACCTGTAATCCTGGCACTTTGGGAAGCCAAGGCTGGCAGATCACTTGAGCCCAAGAGTTCAAGACCAGTCTGGGCAACATGGCAATACCCCATCTTTGCTGAAAATATGAAAATCAGGCACGTGTGGTAGTGCATGCCTGTGGTCTCAGCTACTAGGGAGGCTGAGGTGGGAGCCCAAGAGTTTGAGGCTGCAATGAGCATGAGCATGCCTGGGTGACAGAGCTAGACCTTGTCTCCAAAATAAAAAACAATTTTTATTTTATTTTATCTCACAATTTTTTGAGTCAGGAATTGGGAGGTTCTTCTGCTCCATGTAGCATCAACTGATATTGCTCAGTGGTATTCAGCGATCAGCTGGGCTTTTCTGAAAGATGCAAAATGATATCACTCCCATGCCTGGCATATTGGCAGGGCTCATCTGGGTCCTCCTTCATTTTAGTCATGGCATTGCACTGTAGTCTTTCAGAATAAACTGCTTTCCTGATGGCTCGGGCTTCCAGATAGCAAGTAGAAGCTGCCAGTGCTCTTAAAGGCTCAGCCTGGAACTGGCATAGCATCACTTCCACTGCTGTTACTCAAGGGAATCACCATGCCAACTGAAATTAAAGAGGAGGAGAAGCAGAGCTCCCTCCCGACTTGAGAGGAAAGTCAGAAACCTTGCAACATGTGACCACCTTAATTCACCACGGTCACTTAAATAATCTTATTCATTAGAACCATAGTTTCTAGTATCACTATGGAATGAAAGTTTGTTCCCTTCCCCCCCACCTCCAAAATAACATATATTGAAATCTAATCCCTGATATAGTGATATTGGAGGTGGAGTCTTTGCAAGGTAATTAGGTTATGAAAGTGGAAGCCTCATGAATGGGATTGGTGCCCTTATAAGAAGAGGGCAGAGAGCTAGCTTTCTGCTTTCTACCATGTTAGGATACGAGGAAGAAAAGGTTATCTGCAAAACAGGAACAGGGCCCATTAGAACCAGCCATGCTGGCACCCTGACATTGGATCCTTCAGCCCCAGAACTCTGAGAAATAAGCTTCTATTGTTTACCCTGCCCAGTCTATGATACTCTGTTATAGTAGCCTGAGGTAAGACAGTATCTTACGCCTTTTCTTTAAAAAAAAAAAAAAAGAAAAAGAAAAGAAAAGAAATCCTGATGTATCTGCAATGAAAAAAAAAAAGCAAGAAAGAAAATACTGTTGGACATTCTATGGAAGCTGTATAGCCTGGTGCAGGAGTTGATAGACCAGAGAGTAAATATTTTAGGCTTTGCAAGCAATACAGCCGTTAAGTCAAGTTTATAGTGTAAGAATAAGTTGATAATGATATAGCTTAAACTACTAGGGAACAGAGTTATTCATTAAAAAATAAAAAAGGGACCAGGCGTGGTGGCTCATGACTGTAATCCCAGCACTTTGGGAGGCCAAGGCAGGTGGATCACAAGGTCAAGAGATCGAGACCATCCTGGCTAACATGGTGAAACCCTGTCTCTACTAAAAATACAAAAATTAGCCGGGCGTTTGGTACATGCCTGTAGTCCCAGCTACTCGGGAGGCGGAGGCGGAAGAATCGCTTGAGCCCAGGAGGTGGAGATTGCAGTGAGCCGAGACTGCCGCTGTGCTCCAGCCTGGCGACAGAGCAAGACTCCATCTCAAAAAAAAAATAAAAATAATAAAAAAGGATTTTGCCCCCCAAGTGCTTACCTTGAATGAATGACCAAAATAATCATTTGAAAAAAAGATAAAAACTTAAAGATTGGTACATTATCAGTTGTCTTTCCAAATGAGACAGATAATTAGAAACTAAAAATGGAGAAGAAAAGTACATCTATATTCCAGGGAGAGTAAGAGGGATGGTATTCACTTAAACAGCATAGTACTGATAGTGTTAATCAGAAAGGAAAAAGAGAAGTTAACAAATGTCTTCTCATCACTATTCACTTTCAGAAAATATCAACCAGGTAAAAAATGAGCCACTGACAGAAAATAGAGGTAGCATCTTGATATTAATTGAAGGTGAGCGCAGTGGCTCACGCCTATAATCCCAGCATTTTGAGAGGCTGAGGCAGGTGAATCACTTCAGACCAGCCTAGCCAACATGGTGAAACCTCATCTCTACTAAAAATACAAAAATTAGCCAGGTATGGTAATGTGTGCCTGTAGTCCCAGCTTCTCAGGAGGCTGAGGGAGGAGGATCACCTGAGCCCAGGAGGTAGAGGTTGTAGTGAGTTGAGAGCACACCACTGCACTCCATCCTGGGTGACGGGAATAAAACCCAACCTCCAAAAAAAAAAAAAACAATTATTTGAGGGTGTAAGAAAACAGATGTTTAGTGCCATTCAATTATGTTCTCAGTATCATTGTGAAAGTCCAGGTAATAGGTTTTTTTTTTTTTACTATTAAAAGATAGATTTTGAAGATTAAATTTTTATTTTAGTTACCAATCAGTAGTATCACAGTCTGTTCTTCCATATTTCTAACCAGAGACATCTTTATTCTTTAAACTGTTTTTATACCTTCTCTAAACCAATTTACATATTCCTAAAATTTTAATGGAAGAGAAAATTTTATATCATGGTGAAAAATATAGAGTATACCATATTTCCTTTGAATATTTTTATTACAGTAAAAGGCAAAAGAGCCTGTCATTTGAGAAATAACTAGAGACTTAACACAATAGTAAGATTTAAAACCTGTAGATAGAATATTTAATTTTTCTGTTACAATGAATATATTACCCTAAAACTAGGTAGCAATAATTTATAGAAAGTTTATTCAATATTCTCATGACAAATTTTGCTTTGAGATGTTTCTTGTTATGTTTATCCTTTGCAGAACCTGATGATTTGGAAACAGAAATTCTACAAGAGCCAAGTGGAACAAACAAAGATGAGAGCTTGCCATGCACTATTACTGATGTGTGGATTAGCGAGGAAAACGAAACAAAGGAAACTCAGTATGTACATCTTTTCCTTACATTTTAAAACCCAAGTCCATTTCGTAATAACTTTTTAAAAATACTATAACAAACTAATATTGCAACATAATATCCTAAAATTGCAATGCCTTATAAAAATAATTTAATTTTAATAGATATTCACATGGTTCAAAAATAAATGAGTATATAAAATATATGAAGAGGCCAGGCACAGTGGCTCATGCTTGTAATCCCAGCAGTTTGGGAGACTGGGGTGGGCGGATCACTTGAGGGCAAAGACCAGTCTGCCCAACACAGCAAAACCCTGTCTCTACTAAAATTACAATAATTAGCCAGGCATGGTGGCGTGTACCTATAGTCCCAGCTACTTGGGAGGCTGAGACACAGGAATCCCTTCAACCCGGGAGATGGAGGTTGCAGTGAGCCGAGGTCATGCCACTGCACTTCAGCCTGGGCTACAGAGCAAGACTCTGTCTCAAAATAAATAAATAAAGTGGGCCGGACACGGTGGCTCACGCTTGTAATCCCAGCACTTTGGGAAGCCGAAGCGGGTGGGTCACCTGAGAGTCAGGAGTTCGGGACCAGTCTGGCCAACATGGCAAAACCCCATCTCTACTAAAAATACAAAACTTAGCTGAGCATGGTGGCAGGTGCCTGTAATCCCAACTACTCAGGAGGCTGAAGCATGAGAATCACTTGAACCTGGGAGGAGGGGGTTGCAGTGAGCTGTGATTGCACCACTGCACTCCAGCCTGGGCGACAGAGCGAGACTCAAAAAATAATAAAAATAAATAAAGCATGATGATATTGCAGTAAAAAGGCTTGCTTACATCTGTCCCCAGCCAGCCAATTCCACTCTGGTCTTCTTTCAGATGTTTTTAGTATATGCGTCAGCAAAAATAAATATTTAGTCTTCCATCTTTTTTAACTACAGTTGTTGGTATAGTGTACACGGCTCTTTCCACCTTGTTTATTTTTAGTCAATAATAAATCTGGGAAATTTTTTCATAATACATAAAGGGCTTTCTTTTTTCTTATTTCATAACTAGTTAGTGTGTCACTGTCTGGAATATCACAACTCAACAAGTTTCCTACCTGTTGGACATTGATTGACATTCCAAATGATGCTGCAATGAATAACTTTGTATATAAAGTGTTTTTTTGTGTGTGTATAGATCTGTAATAAGTATAATTGCTGGGTCCGCTGCATTTTTACAAGTTGCATTTGTAATCTGGTTATTGTTCTCCTGGGGTTGTATTAGTTTATACTTTCAGAAGGAATGTCTGAACTCCATTTTCTCCACAGCCTTGCTAAACTTTTGTTATCAAACGTTTAAATTTTTGCCAATCTAACAAGGTAAAAGATAATATCTCCATTTGGGCAGTTAGTTTGTATATCTCTTAAGATAGGTAAAGGTCAGTACATCTTTTCAAATGTGTAAATTACATTTGAACTTCCTTGTCTGTGAATCGCCTATTTATATCTTTGGCCCTCCTTTTTTAAAATTTAGTCGTTGGTCTTTTGTAAATCAGTAAAAACCCTTAAAAGTGAGAGATATTTGCCCTGGTGGTTACATGAATTGCAACTGTTTTTTCTCTGCTGGTCATTTATGGGTTTCTGTGTGTGTTTGTGTGGTTTTCCAATCCTGAAGTATATAGTTTATTTTTGTTTATTTTTATTGTTGTCATATTTATCTGAATTTTGATAGTTACTCAGAAAAGCCTTGTTCTTTTTAAGGTTACCAAAAAACTTTTCCATTTTCTAGTATGTTTTTTTTTTTTTTTGGTAGAGACAGACTAATTTTGGTACCCAAGCTAATCTTAAACTCCTGGTCTAAAACAGTCTTCCCACCTTGGCCTCCCAAAGAGCTAGGATTACAGGCATGAGCCACTGTGCCTGGTCAGTTTTCTGGTGCTTTTATGTGATGCTTTATACATTTAAATGTTTGATTTTTTTTAACATGTAAATCTGTGGAATTTATTATGGTTTATAGATTTGAGTCTGTATATATTTTTTCCTATTCCATTGGTCTGTCTACAGTGATCTCGTACATACTTTTAATTAATAAATTATAAAATATGTTGACATTGTTATATATTGGTTATCACATTTTTTATTTGGGTTTTCTATAAGCTTAACAATTTTTATTACTTTATTGGAATGAATGAAAGCTGCTTTCTACTAGTATGTTTCCATTTATTTCTTTTTATATTTCAAGTGATTTTTATCTAATGAATGTTATTCCTAAGTTATTTGGTGCATAGATATTCACAAGTATAATACCCTTGTGCAAATTACACATTATGGCATTATATCATTGTTTGAGTCATTGTTTGAGTCTTGCATAATATTTTTTTTTTTTTTGTCTTTTTGTTTTTTTCCTTTTTGTGGAGAACGGGGTCTCGCTATATTGCCCAGGCAGGTCTCGAACTCCTGGGCTTAAGCTATCCTCCCGCCTCTGCCTCCCTAAGAGCTGGGATTACAGGCATGAGCCACAGTGCCCGGCAGCTTTACGCTTATTTTTTTTTTTTGTCTTTTTGTTTGCTTAATATTTTTTAACTAAGTTTTGTCTTTTTGTTTATATTTGCCCAATCTGCATTGGCTCGTCCTTCTGTTTTCAGCTTTTCTGAATTATTTTATCTTAATTATGTTTCTGATATTGTTCATGATTCAATCTGAAATTTTTTATTTAAGTATCTAGTTCATTTATAAAAGTTTAATATATCTTTTGTATGATATAGTTCAATTTTGTTATTTTATTTTTATATTCTTTTTAGTCTTTTGCTATAGGTTTTATTGTTTTTTTTTTTTAACTAATAGACTTTTGTGAGCAATTTTAGCTTACCAAAAAAATGAGCAAAAATTATAGATTTACTATATACCTCTCACTCCTCACCCCACAATTCTTTTTTCTTATTTCTGGCAAGCTGTGATATTTTTAACATCTTGCGTTAATGTGTAATATATGTTACAACTGATTTGTCAATAATAATGACATATTATTAACAAAGTTTATAGTTTACATTAGGGTTCACTCTTTGATACATTCTACAAGTTTTGACAAATGTGTAATGACATGGATTCACTATTACACTATTATTACTATGATACTATACAACCTATTCATCCTGTCTTCTCTTTCCATCCCACAATCCCTGGCAGCCACTGATGTTTTTATTGCCTGCATAGTTTTGCCTTTTCCAGAATGTCATCTAGTTATTATCGTATAGTACGCAGTCTTTAGTTTGGCCCCTTTCGCTTGGCAATGTATGCGCGGTGGCTCGCACCTGTAATCCCAGCTCTTTGAGAGGCCGAGGTAGCAGATCTCTTGAGGCCAGGAGTCCGAGGCCAGCCTGGCCAACATGGCGAAACCCCGTCCCTACTAAAAATACAAAAATTAGCTGGGTGTGGTTGTGCACATGCATGTCATTCCCACTACCTGGGTGTCTGAGGCCCGAGAATCACTTGAACCCAGGAGGTAGAGGTTGCGATGAGCCAAGATTGGGCCACTGCACTTCAGCCTAGATGACAGAGTGAGACTGTCTCAAAAAGAAAAAAAAAAGAAAAGAAGAGTTCCTTAAATTTTTGAAATCATTTTTATATATTATAGGAATAATAGAAAACCAGTATTTGATACATGTGTTTGGAAATTTAATAAATTGTAAAGATGGTATTTCTAATCAACATGAAAAGAGAACCTATTTAATACATGCTTTTGAGACAAATTAATCACAATTTGAAAAAAATAAAATAATCATTTCCATTTCTGAAACCATTCAACAAAACAATACCAGATTGAATAAAGACCTAAATAAAAAATGTTAAAGGAGGCAGCCTAACCTAACAAGTAATATCCAGAATTTATAAACAATGTGTGTAAGTTAATAAGAAAAATACAAAAGTCCAAGAGAAAAATAGGGAAGATTACAAATAGGCTATTCATGAAGGAAGAAACCCAGACATTCGTAAATTCAACAGTGTGATACTTTAGGAGTTCTAGGGAGTCAATAAAATGACAGATGAATAAATCAGATTCCTAAGTGTTTGATAGACTTAGTGGAGAGCTAGGGTCCTGTGAATGTCACTGGTAGTCAGATACTTACTCCTTCTCAAAGAAGAGTGACTAAAAGGCAGGGCAGAGTTCCATCAATGGGGACTCTGTACTTTCCACTGATTGTTTTTCCATAAAATAACTTGAAGCCACGGGGAAGAGAAGTGATATATGAAGTGTGTGTGAGGGGGTGGCACTGCAGTGCTTTGATGCATTGCAAGTACACCTATGAAAGGCCGAGCCAGTCTAGAGATGCATTTGCCAGTTTTGTTAATGTTTTAAATGTGCACATCCTATAATATACCTATTTTACTTTTGGTATCTACTCTCCAGATCATTCATACATGAGCACAAAGAAGCAAATGCAAGAAGATTCATTCCGGGAGAGTCACAGCAAATAATTTGAAACAGTGGAAATAATGATTAATAAGGAGGTAGATACAAATACTGATGTGTTTCTATAGACAGGCATCCTTCAATATATTTAAGGGATTGTTTCCAGTATCCTTTGTATCAAAAATCTACACATACTCAAGTCCCACAGTCGCCTCTGTGGAACCTATATATGCGAAAAGCCAGCCCTCTGTATACACAGGTTTGCATCCCATGATTACTGTATTTTCAATCCACATTTGGTTTAAAACATATTTGCGTCTAAGTATTAGACGCGTGAAGTTCAGACCCATGTTGCTCAAGGGTCAACTCTAAAGCATATGGAATAGAATACAGCACCTGAAAGAATAAATGGGACTCTCTACTAATATGGAAATATGTCTAAAACTTTGATTAATAGAATAAAATAATAGTGAATGAGAAAAGCATCTCCATATATTAGATTAGCATATAAATTTAAAGGAAAAATCTGGTAAGGTACGCACCAAACTGATAATAGGAAAGGCAGCTGGAATTTGAGTGGTTAGGAGTCCTAAAAGGAACTTTACTTTTTTATTGGACTAAAATTCACGTAACCTAAAATTCACCATTTTAAATTGTACAAGTCAGTGACGTTTGGAAATTCACAGTGGTGTACACTGTGACAACCATCACCACTATATAGTTCCAGAACATTTTCATCACCCACCCTCTACCTGGTAAGCAATCATTCCCCGTTTATTCCTCCCCACCACTGTCTGGCAACCACTAATCTGCTTTATGTCTCTATGGATTTAGCAATTCCGGATATTTCTTACAGAATCATACACTGTGTGGCCTTTTGTATCTGGTTTCTGTTACCTAACATATTGTTTTTAATTTTTCATTCATGTTGTAGGATATGCCAGTTCTTCATTTCTTTTTATGGCTGAATAATATTCCATTATATATATATATACACACACACACTCTCTCTCTCTCTCTCTCTCTCTCTCTCTCTCTCTCTCTCTCTCTCTCTCTCTCTAGAGATGCATTTGCCAGCTTTGTTAACGTTTTAAATGTGCCATATATACACACACACACACACACACACACACACACACACACACACATATATTTATTTATAATTCATCAGTTCATGGGCCCATAGGTTATTTCTACCATCTGGCTATTGTAAAGACTGCTGTGAAGAACATCGATATACAGTATCTGTTTGAGTTCTTGCTTTTAGTTCCTTTGGGTATATACCTAGGAGTGGAATTGCAGCATCATATGGTAATTCAGTTAACCTTTTTGAGATACCAAGGGACATTACATTTTGAATGAAAAAATATGCTACTTGACTGGGAAAAGTGGCTTATACCTGTAATCCCAGCACTTTGGGAAGCCAAGGGGACGATAGTTGTCTGATGCCAGGAGTTTAAGACCAGCCTGGGCAACATAGCAGGACCCACCTCTACAAAAAAAAAAAAAAAAATTGCCAGGCATGGTTGAATATGCCTGTAATCCCAGCTACTTGGGAGACTGAGGTGAGAGGATCTCTTGAGCCCAGGAGGTCAAGGCTGCAGTGAGGTGAGCCATGATCATGCCACTGCACTCCAGCCTGGGCAACAGAGCAAGGCCCTGTCTCTTAAGATAAATATATATATAAGCTTAAAAAATAAAAACAGAGGCTGGGTGCAGTGACTTATGCCTGTAATCCACACACTTTAGGAGGCCGAGGCAGGCTATTCACCTGAGATCAGGAGTTCGAGACCATCCTGGCCAACATGGCAAAACCCTGTCTCTACTGAAAAATACAAAAATTAGCCAGGCACCATGGCATGCACCTGTAGCCCCAGTTACTCGGGAGGCTGAGTCACAAGAATCACTTGAACCTGGGAGTTGGAGGTTGTTGTGAGCCAAGATTGTGCCACTGTACTCCAGCCTGAGTGGCAGAGTGAGACTCTGTCTCAAAAAATAAATAAATAAATAAAAACAGAAAATGCTGAAAATCTGAAAGTAAAAAAGTTGAAAATTATTTAAAATTTGAAGTGGACTTAAAAGTATTTAGAAAATAAAAACTTACCTATACGCCAACTCCGAGAGATAAATTACTGGTACTTTTGGAATATATTCTTCCAGTATTTAAGTTTTTGTCTAAAAAAATGCATGAATTTAATTTCCAGGTATAGGGAGATGAAAATTGTGGGTTCTTTTTATTTTTCTTCCTCAATCTCAATCCCCTCCCTTTGAGGGTTAAAATATTTTTGTGACTATTATTCTATTTTTCTGTGTTAGAAGCCATTTTTTCAAAACCTAACACTATGTAATACTAATTGGTCTGTGAATCACTTTATTTAACAGTACATCTTGCCTGTTGTTCTAGTCAGTTTATATAGATCTCTGCTTCATTTTTTAACAGCTACATGATATTCCATGGTATTAATATATCATAATTGTTTTCTATTCTCCACTTTTTTTTTTTTTTTTTTTTGAGACAAAGTTTCTCGCTCGTTGCCCAGGCTGGAGTGCAGTGGTGCGATCTCGGCTCACCGCAACCTCCGCCTCCCAGATTCAAGCGATTCTTCTGCCTCAGCCTCCCGAGTAGCTGGGATTACAGACATGTGCCACCACGCCCAGCTAATTTTGTATTTTTAGTAGAGATGGGGTTTCTCTATGTTGGTCAGGCTGGTCTCCAACTCCCAACCTCAGGTGATCTGTCTGCCTCGGCCTCCCAAAGTGCTGGGATTACTATTCTCCACTCTTTTTTTTTTTGAGACGGAGTTTCACTCATGTTACCCAGGCTGGAGTGCAATGGCGCGATCTCGGCTCACTGCAACCTCCGCCTCCTGGGTTCAAGCAATTCTCCTGTCTCAGTCTCCCGAGTGGCTGGGACTACAGGCATGCGCCACCATGCCCAGCTAATTTTTGTATTTTTTAGTAGAGACGGGGTTTCACCATGTTGACCGGGATGGTCTCGATCTCTTGACCTCGTGATCCACCCGCCTCGGCCTCCCAAAGTGCTGGGATTACAGGCTTGAGCCACCGCGCCCGGCCCTGTTCTCCACTCTTAAAGGGTATTCCCATTCTTTAAAGTAGTGGTTCTCAAACATTAGCATGTATTAGAATGACTTTGGGACTTTTCACAACTAATTGCTGGGCGCTAAACCCCAAAATTTCTGATTTATAGGTCAAGGGCGAGCCTGAGAATTTGTATTTCTAACCAGTTTCTTTACTATGCTGTTGTCTGGGGACGGTACTTTGAGAGAAACATTGTTGTAAAAGGTGGTGAACCTGGTTACGGTGAATGATTACTATTTGGTGGGGGAAAAATACAGCATACTTACGTGAAAAAGTACACTATGTATTTCATATATATATATATGTATGAAAGTGAGAAAAATACTTGGAAGAGGGATCAAAGAATGCTAGTGAACTTGTGTTTCATTTTCTGTATTTTAGAGCACTTTTATTTATGGTGAACTCTGTGTGTGTGTGCGTGTTTTTAATTGGTATACCCATCTGTGGCAGGTTGGAAGATAGGATCACCATTCAGCAAAATGAAGTTTCTGAAGATGGAGTCTCGAGTACTGTGGACCAACTTAGTCACATTCATATAGGTAAGCATCATTGCATTAGCCTAATGACTTCTGGAAGATTGTTAATGATTGTTAACATCAACATATCTCATTTGAGTAATATATAAAAAAGCATTCCTTCTCAGTCATCTCAATCATTTAAAAAATATTATAGAGCACTGGACTATGCATTAATAAGCCTGGATTGTATGGCAACATGGCAGTGAAACTTTTTGGTCAGTTATTTTTATTGAGTATTCAAAAAGAAAAAATTAGAATTACTTGCCAAAGCCAAGCCAGTGTACTCAGGCCATTAAATAAATTGTCTTCTTTTTTAAATAGTATTAAAGTATAAGAAAGGTAGGCTGGGTACAATGGCTTACACCTGCAGTCCCAGCACTTTGGGAGGCTTAGGTAGGAGGGTCACTTGAGGCCGGAAGTTTGAGACCAGCCTGGACAACATAGCATTACTCTGTCTCTGAAAAAATTTTTAAATTAGCCAAGCATGGAGGCATGCCGGTAGTCCCAGCTACTCAGGAGGCTGAGGTGAGAGGATTGCTTGAGGCCAGGAGTTCAAGACTGCAGTGCAGTGGCTCTGCACTCCAGCCAGGGCAATAGAGTGAGACCGTGTCTCTTAAAAAGAAAAGAAAAAAGAATTTTTTTTGTCTATAGAAACAAAGATAAATTGGAACTAAAAATGTATTTTTTCACATTTCTTTGGATTTGTGTCAATTTTTTTTCTTTTTGTTTGTATTTCTTGAGAGACAGGGTCTCACTCTGTTGCCCAGGCTGGAGTGTAGTGGCTTAATTGTAACTCCCTGTAGCCTCAAACTCCTGGGCTTAAACAACCCTCACCTTATCCTCCAGAGTAGCTGGGACTACAGGCATGCACTACTACACCCAGCTAATTTTATTTTTTGTGGAGACGAGTCTCAATTAATTGCTTAGACTGGCTTCAAACACCTGACCTCAAGCAGTCCTCCTACCTTGGCCTCCCGACAGGCTGGGATTACAGGCATTAGCCACCATGCCCAGCCTTGTGAACTTTCAATATAATGGAAGTGTATAACAAGTTAAATCAACCCCCTGAAGATAAAACGTTGTATCCTGTTAAAGATTATTCGGAAGGTAATATACTGACACATGTATTTTGATTTTATTTTCCTGATATGTGGGTTTTGGTTAGAATTTGTGTTACATACTATAACCTATCAATATCATTTAGTACTTTAAGTACTGTATAGACTTATCACATAATCTCTCCTTTCTACCACAGAAACTGGAACCAATGATTCTCAGCACTCTGAATGTGATGTAGATAAGTCTGTGCAACCAGAACCATTTTTCCAAAAGGTGGTTCACCCTGAACACTTGAACTTGGTCTCTCAAGTTCAGTCAGTTCAGTGTTCACCAGAAGAGTCCTTTCCATTTCGATCTCACTCGCATTTACCACCAAAAAATACAAACAAGAACTCCTTGCTGATTGGACTTTCAACTGGTCTGTTTGATGCAAACAACCCAAAGGCAAGTATGGCCCTCAAATGGACAATGTTATCCATTTGATAACATGTATTATTGATTGTTTTTCTTTTATAAAGTGTAATACTGAGTTTTAATCTCTTAGCACAGACACAAACACATATCCGACAAAAACCTCCATCTTCTGAGCAAATGAATTACAATTGAGAGTACAACTAGGATGAAGATTATTTCATTGGCTTCCTGTTCAGGATTCTTTTTAGAGAGTCTTTTACTTGAGCAAAAAGTCCCTTTATATACCTTCATGCACTATTGCTCTTTCCCACTAGCCAACCTGACTTCCATTTTTAGTATGACACTAAGCTTAAACAATATATCTTAAATGGATAGAGGTGCTGTATTGCCTAATTTGTATGTAAAAAGATTACTAGATATTTATATGCACTTTCTAGTAAAAGTTTTTCAGACCTCTTTTTCTCATTTGCTATTTTTGAATATACATAACCAATTGTTTATTATAAAAAATATCTCTATAGAAAATGTTGAAACACAGATAAAAATAAGAAATCATATCATTGTTATATTACTTTTCATAGAATTTTTGCATATACATAACTTTTTACCAAAATAAGATGTATACTCTTTATCGCCTTTTCTATTCAATATATATTAAGACGTTATTGCCAATACCATTATTACAATATTGTAATGAAAATAGCACTTTGTCACATACTCTCTTTATATCATCATAAATAACCACATTCCATTGGGCTGCTTATCATAATCTTTTTACAAATCTGTTTCTATTGTTATGCCTTTCCACTTTAATTTTTGTTGTTGTAATCACCTACACCTCTATCTTTGTACATAACCACAATTATTTCCATAAAATAAATTTCTGTAAGTGGAATTCAAAAGGTTGTATTGAATACTGCCTGATTTCCAAATAGTTTATAGTGCTGTCAGTGGTATGTGAAAACACACCCATTTTTCTGTATGCCAAATAGCAACCAAATTCCAACCAGCCTAGGCAATAAAAGGAATTTATTAGTTCTGTTTCTGAGACAGCCTGGAGGGAGACTAGATGCATGGGCTTACAGAGTGCGGGCAGGGCCCATTGTTTCTCCCTTTATTTTTTAGCTCCAGCTTCTCAGTAGTTCTCTACCTTCATGGTCACTATTATCATTTACTTAAAAATTGTTTATTTAACAAATGAGTGATGGTATTGATTAGTTTAAATTTATGTTTCTGTGTTTTACAAGTGAGGTTGGGCATTTTTCATTTATTTTAGTCTGTAAAGGAATGAATTGTCTGAATTCTTTAGTCCTTAACTATTTTTTAAAGATGTCATTTTGGCCAGTCATGCTGGCTCATGCCTGTAATGTCAGCACTTTGGGAAGTTGAGGTGGGTGGATCACTTGAGGTCAGGAGTTCAAGATCAGCTGGCCAACATGACGAAACCCCACCTCTGCTAAAAATACAACAATTAGCTGGGTGTGGTGGTGTTCACCTGTAATCCCAGCTACTTTGGAGACTGAGGCAGGAGAATCACTTGAACCTGGGCGGTGGAGGTTGCAGTGAGCCAAGATTGTGCCATTGTACTCTAGCCTGGGCAACAGAGTGAGACTCTGTCTCAAATAAATAAATAAAAAGTCATTTTGATTTTCAATTTAATTTTTCAGCTGGATATACTTTTATTTTGTGACATATTTTCTTATGCTTATCTTAAATTTAGAGATTATTAAATTCCCTCATTTATCTAATGGCAGTCAGTCTTTCGAAAGGTGTGAACTATCAAAACAAATTATGATCTTCAGAGTCTGAGAGAAAGGCTTATAGATAAGGACTATCATACAATTCATGTACTTTTTTTGTAGTAATGATGTATCGTCATCTTTAGCCTAGAGCTTCTTAATACCTTATTGCTGTCTACAAAGTTAATATTCTTCGCATAATACATTTGATTGTTTTATTTCCTTTTATGACCTTAGTCCAGCGTTGAGTTCTATGGAAGTACTTACTCTGGAAGTAACCATAGCAAATTAGAAACAGTGATGCAGATTTCATGTAAAGGACTATGAGAAAAGAGGCAAGAAAAAACACTAGAAAACCAAAGCAGTCTGTAGCCATTTAAGAAAAGAACACAAAACCATCCCTGCCCATCCTATAAATATTTATATAATCTGTTTAGTAAGGTGGGGTAATTTAACCTTTTATAAACGTTTTTAAAGCTCTTTTTTACAAATGTTAAGTTATAATACTGGTGGGACTTTTTACTTGATTAAGAAAATTCCCCTTGTGCTTTGGTCCCAACTCCTCACTGTTCAAGGAACTGACTCCATTAATTTTGCCAGTCTAACCTGTGTCATCAACTTTGATAGTGGATCGTTAACTCAACATATGTGTTCTAATAAATCTCATCAAAAATAGCAAACTTCTTTTGAACACAATGTCCTTCTCTGGCTACCATCCCATTTCTCTGTCTCCTTTTGCAACCAAGCATCTTGACTATATTGCAGTCGCATTACAGTTTCTACATACATTTACTTCCCAATACATTCCAATATGGCTTTTAGCCTGCTCGTCCACTAAAGCAGCTCTGTGCAGATCATCAGTTACCAGTATATTGCCAGATTCTCTGCACAATTTTCTCTTTCACCTTTCTTGAGTTTTCTTCTTTCAACAGAATTCATATACACTGTTCTTTTAAATTCACTTTATCTGTTGGCTCCTTTGATACTGTACTTTCCTAGTTTTTCTCTGAACTCAGTAGTCACTCTTCTGTCTCCTCTGCCAATGGATCCTACGCTAACAAATTTCTTAAAAATAATATGTGTTTTTCCACTGTGAAATGTACTATAAATATCAAGTCAAATTGGTTGATAGTGTTGTTCAAGTCTTCTACATCTTTACTGATTTTTTAACCTACTTGAACTATCAATTGCTGAGAGAAGACTGAAATTCTCAACTATACTTTTGTAGTAGTCCATTTTCACACTGCTGTCAAGAACTACCTGAGACTGAGTAATTTATGAAGAAAAGAGATTTAGTTGACTTACCATTCCACATGGCTGTGGAGGCTTCAGGAAACTTACAATCATGGCAGAAGGTGAAGGGGAAGCAAGGTACATCTTACATGGCAGCAGGAGGGAGAGAGAGAGAGAGAGACTGAGAGAGAGAGCATGTGAGCGAAGGGGGAAGTGCCATACACTTTTAAATTGTCATTATCACAAGAATAGCATGGGGGAAATTCGCCCCCTCCCACCAGGTCCTTCCCTGACTTGTGGGGATTACAGTTCCAAATGATTTGGATGGGGACACAGAGCCAAATCATATCAACTTGTATAGATAACTGTTTCTTCTTTCAGTTGTGTCAGTTTTTACTCCATGTATATTGAAGCTCTGTTTTGGGGCAAATAAAAATTTAGTATTCTAAATTTTTAAATTTCTAAACTGGTTGAATTGATATGTTTATGTTTATGAAGTATTCTTGTTTGATCATGTTGTTCAGTATCCTTCCTGATTTTCTTTCTACTTATCCATTACTGAAATTTCCACTCAGTCACATTTAAACTAAGAATAATTATGTCTTCTTAATGAATCAACCCCTTTGTCATCATGAAATGAATCTTTTTGTCACTGGTGAGATTTTGTTTGAAACGTTTTCTCTGTTTTTTTTATAGCCATTTCAGCTTTCTTATGCTTAATGTTTATATGATATATATACATTATTTACTACTCTTAACCAAACATTTTATATTTAAAGTGTATTTTTTGCAGTTAGCATGTTAGTCTTGTTCTTAACCAATCTAATAATCTTTTAATTGATTAGAAAATTTACATTTAATGTAATTATTAATATAACAACCATGTGATGGTTTAAACCTATCATTTTGCTATTTGTTTTCTATTTGATCACTTTTTTGTTCCCTTTCTACTTCTTTCTTCCTTTGGATTGAGGATTTTTAGCACCTTATTTTATCTTTACTGTTTATGTTTTCAAGATACATCTTTAGCTTAGCATAATCTCCCTTCAAATAATATTATACCGATTCACATATACCATAAAAACCTTACAACCATATTCAGTCATGCATCCCATAATGACATTTCAGTGAATTACAGACCTCATATACAGCAGTGGTCCCATAAGATAATAATGGAGCTGAATAATTCCTCTCACTACCTAATGACATCGTGGTGTCACAGTGTAATGCATTACTCACATGTTTGTGGTGATGCTGATGTAAGCAAAGCTACCACCCTGCCAGTCCTTTAAAAGTCTAGGACATACGATTATGTACAGTACTAATGTGTGACAACAATAAGTGACTGCAAGCCTGGTTTATGTATTTTCAATACTTTTTATCATTATTTTAGAGTGTTCTACTTACTTAAAGAAAGTGAACTGTAGAACAGCCTCAGGCAGGTCCTTCAGGAGGTATTCCAGAAGAAGGCCTTGTTATCACAGGAGCTGACAGCTCCATTCATGTCATTACCCTTGAAAACTTTCCAGATATGGTGATGGAAGACAGTGACATTGATGATCCTGGCCCTCTGTAGGCGTAGGCTACCGTGTGTGTTTGTGTCTTCGTGTTTATAAAGTGAAAAGGTTACAGTAAGCTAAGTTTAATTTATTGAAGACAAAATTTGTAAATAAATTTAGTGTAGCCTAAGTGTACATATACAGTGTTGGTAAAGTCTACAGTAGTGTATAGTAACGTCCCAGGCCTTCACATTCACTCACCACGCACTCTCTGATTTACCCAGGGCAGCTTCCCAGTGCCACAGGCTCCATTCATGGTAATTACCTATACAGGTGTACCATTTTTAATATTTTCTATGGTATTTTGACTATACCTTAGTGTTTACATAGACAAATATTTACCATTGTATTGCAATTTTCTATATTATTGAGTGTAGCAACATGCTATACGGGTTTGTAGCGTAGGAACAATTGGCTCTAACACATAGCCTAGATATGTAGTAAGCTGATACCATCTAGATTTGTGTAATTACACTCTATGATGTTATCACAATGACAA